ATTATTATTATTATTAAAGTTATGTGTGGACTTGAGGTTGTTAAAGGTGTGTATGAGTTTATAACTCAGATTACAACGCTGGAGTTCCAGCTAAGTTTAGGTGTTACGGTCTTTTTGAGCGGAGGCTTATTGACAGGTCTGCTCTCTTCCTCCATGTTGTACTTTTTGTGGGGTTGGTGCATTTTAAGCAGAAAAGGCATCAGATGTTTTGTGGAATGCTCCTTTTCATGTGAACGAGCTCAAACTAAAAGGTTTAAAGTTATAGAAAAGTTTTTGGCTCCATCAAGACGGGCTTACAGAAGAAAGTCCAGCTCTGTCGAGCATCACAGATGTTTACCGCTAGAAGAAGTTTTACCTTTTTATCAATGTCCAAGCTGTCCACATCTGTTGCTTCCAGTTCCCCACGAGCGAAGCAGGTGAAGTTTTCTTTCTAAGCCGGGGAGGGCTGGCACTTTGTCACATTTCAAGCTTTGAGAGATTCTGTGAGAGATGTGAAGAGCTTTGTGTTTGTACGTGAAAGGTTCCTGTCACACCTTGTTGTCCTCTCATGTCCCCCGGTCTTTATTCAGATTCGCGTCAGACGGCGCTCGTGTCTGTGAAGTCGTCAGTTGTGCACAGACTCAAAGGGAGAACAGAAGCAGAATCACCAGCCAGCGCCCGATGACTTTGGTCCTGGCAGTTCACGGTGTTTAAAGTTAAAGCCGTGCTGCCTCAGTCTGGATGTTTATGAACCTTCTGCTAATATTTCCCTCGCTGACGCCGTGCACGCCGCTGACTCAGCCTGCTCCGAGTAATTAGCCTCGTTTGAGTGTGATCAGCCCCGTGTGTTTTACAGAACAGAAAGAGGATGAGATGGAGCGAAGCCGCTCTGCTGTGATTAGTGAACATTATCTCTGCTGCACTGACGGCACACTTTTAAAACATATCATCGTGGTGTTGGGACGTTTTGTCCACATGCAAGCCTCTCGCACTCATTTATTTTTCCTCAGATCGTAATTCAGTCTTTTCTGCACGCGTCCTCTGAAAGCGTGCAGATTAGTGGCAGTGAACAGCAGCTCGGAGGATTTACGTGAAGAATAGGAGCATTTGGCAAACGGACGACAAATATTCAGCTCGAGCCTAAAAGAAAGGAAAGAGTGTAATTTAAAAACTTTTTTTAGCAGAACAGAGCTCACTTTTCTTCAGTTATGTACAAAATTACATAAAAATGAAGTTTTATAATTTGTGTAAAAGTTGCAAAACAAACTAACTTAAACTAGAGAAATTGCATTTCCTGTGAAAATGCAGTATGAATACTTATTGCTGCTGAAAAACAGCTGAAATGTAGCTGAATTAGAAGAACAAGCCGAAGATAGCAGAAGAAAGCAGAAAGAACATATTTGCTGAATTATTCATCTTTATTTAACCTTTAATTAATCTCTTTTGCAAGGGAGGCCTAACATGCATGGTTTTGGTTTAAATAAGCAGAAATGAGCACAAAAATTAGGAAAGTAGCTAAATAGATGAAATTAGCATAAACACTGAAGTCGAAATTAATGCAAAAAAATGTGGAATTAGCTGAAAAAGCTAAAATTAGCATAAAAACAGCTAAATAGTAGCTGAAATAACTGTAACTAGCAGAAATAAGCTGAAGAAGCGTACCAAGCTGAAATTAGCAGAAAGAAGTTAATTAGGCTGAAAGTAGCAACGGTTACCACAAAAAAATTGGATTTATCTGAAAACAGCTAAAATGTGCTAAAAAGGTAGCTGAAAAGGTAGAACAAGCTTAAATTAGCTGAATAAAGCAGAAAGAACAGATGTTTGCCTAATTACGCTGAAATAAGCAAAAATGAGCACAAAAAAGTGGAAATTATCAGAAAAAAGCTGAAATTAGCAAATAAAACAGCTGAAATATAGCTAAAAAATCAGATAGATGCTTAAATTTCCATAAGGGAGTGGAGAGAGCATAATTCTGCTGAATTATGCTGAAAAAAGTTTAGAGTACAAAAAATGTGGAATTAGCTGAAAAAGCTAAAATTAGCAAAAACAGCTAAATAGTAGCTGAAATAGCAGAAAATGTTGACTTTTCAGAAATTAGCTGAAAGGAGCATAACAAGCTAAAATGAGCAGAAAGATGTTAGAAAAAGCACAAAAATGTAGTTAATGGAAAGAACCTGAAAGGAGAACAGAACAGCTGAAAAAACACCTGATATTAGCTGAAAGTAGATGATTTTTTTTTGTTGTTGCAGCAGGAAGCTGAAAGAAGCTGAAGCAGAACAAAAAGTGAAAGGAGCAGTAAAAGGTTGTAAACAGAGCTAAAGATTTGAAGGATTAAAATGAGCTCAATTCATTTTCTATGAGGGAAAAAAATGTCAAAAAAGGCTAAAATATTTCAAACAGCTAAAGCTGCACCAATACCAAAAGTCGTATATTGTCCTGAAAGAGCCGGACGTTTTGATGAATGATTTTTGATTTGGACGCTTCATAAACTTTCACACAATAAGGCCAGCATGAGCCTGTTAACAAAATATCTCTTGAAGCAGTAGAAATATTTTAATGGATCCTGAATAAGAACCATGTACCGACACGACCGTTAACGTTTAGAATCGAAGGCTTCACTTTTACACGGTCGCAGCTAAAAGTGGCAGAAGCAGAGATTCCCAACACAAACACCAAGAATTAAAATAATTTGTAAGAATTCACAATAAGACGTGAGTTCCTGCAAAACCTCAGGTTTGACCAAAAAACTACAGTTTAACTCCGATCTCATCCAAAGATCTTTAGTTTTAAATTCTGGCGTCAAACTTTAACTTTACAGCTTTTTTATTGTAAGGAGTCCGTTTCTTCATTCATGTGCCAAACGTGCAGAAACGGCATTAAAGCAGTTTTAAAGTTTGTGTAGAAACCGCAGGAGCAGCGTGGTGTCTGTCTGCAGGTCATTCATAAAACGAGGCGACGCTGTAAACTGATGTCATTAGAGGCGACGGGAGCGTCTCGTGCTCTTAGTAGAGGAAGGTGTGCACGCTGCTGGGGCTCGTCCATGTAGGTCTGACTCGTGAGCTGTATGTTCCAGCGTGTCGTCCTTTGGGACACGTCCCGACTCAAACTGTTAGCTTCAGGTGAGACGTCTCGTCCCCTCAGTCTGATCTCTGAGAAGACGTCACAGACCAGGGTTCATTGGCTCGTCTTCAGTGGACTTCATGTCCTTCAGCTGAAGCAGATCATCAGATTTCAGAGCAATGCCTGATGGACACTTTTCAATTTGAATTGTGATGTTTTCTGAGAATGTCTCTTTCATATCTGCAGTAACGGTCCTGCAGCTGAATGAAGGGTCGTTACGTTTGTCTCATTTTTATGTAAAACAGACATTTGAAGTAAGCGTCTTTCAAAATATGTCCTTTAAAAGTTGTGTTCCAACTGTCCCTGCAAATATGATAACATAAAGAGAGACCATAATAATTTAGGATGTCTAGACATTGTTAAAACACCATAAGAAAACTGCAAAAAGCAAAGTGGTGCCTATTTTTTTATTATTTATATTCATTATTCTTATCATAAAGATGCAATTCAATTCAGTTCAGTTTATTTCTGTAGCTCCAAGTTCCATCAGAAGTTGTCTCAGGGTGCTGAACAGAAACATTCAGACATTACAAAAGACAATTATTAAAGTTCTCTATCTAAGGAAGCTGCAGGTTGTGGTGAATCTTCTCTTCATCACAGTCTCTCATCCTGAGCAAGAGCAGAGGAGACAGTGGGAAGAAAAAACTTCCTTTAACAGGAAGAAACCTCCAGCAGAACCAGGCTCAGGACGAGCGAACATCTGCTTCAACCGGCTGGTTTGAGAGGACAGGAAGTAGAAACATAGAGGACAGGAAGTAGAAACAGAGAGGACAGGAAGTAGAAACGGAGAGGACAGGAAGTACAAACAGAGAGGACAGGAAGTAGAAACGGATGACAGGAAGTCAAAACAGATGACAGGAAGTAGAAACGTAGAGGACAGGAAGTAGACACAGAGAGGACAGGAAGTAGAAACATATAGGACAGGAAGTAGAAACAGAGAGGACAGGAAGTAGAAACACAGAGGACAGGAAGTAGAAACGGATGACAGGAAGTAGACACAGAGAGGACAGGAAGTAGAAACAGAGATGACAGGAAGTATAAAAAGAGAGGACAGGAAGTAGAAACAGAGAGGACAGAAAATGGAAACAAAGGACAGGAAGTAGAAACATAGAGGACAGGAAGTAGAAACAGAGAGGACAGGAAGTAGAGAAAGAGAGGACAGGAAGTAGAAATGGAGAGGACAGAAAATGGAAACAAAGGACAGGAAGTAGAAACATAGAGGACAGGAAGTAGAAACAGAGAGGACAGGAAGTAGAAACAGAGAGGACAGGAAGTAGAAACGGATGACAGGAAGTCAAAACAGATGACAGGAAGTAGAAACGTAGAGGACAGGAAGTAGACACAGAGAGGACAGGAAGTAGAAACAGAGAGGACAGGAAGTAGAAACACAGAGGACAGGAAGTAGAAACGGATGACAGGAAGTAGACACAGAGAGGACAGGAAGTAGAAACAGAGATGACAGGAAGTATAAAAAGAGAGGACAGGAAGTAGAAACGGAGAGGACAGAAAATGGAAACAAAGGACAGGAAGTAGAAACATAGAGGACAGGAAGTAGAAACACAGAGGACAGGAAGTAGAAACAGAGATGACAGGAAGTAGAAACAGAGAGGACAGGAAGTAGAAACAGAGAGGACAGGAAGTAGAAAGAGAGAGGACAGGAAGTAGAAACAGAGGACAGGAAGTAGAAACAGACAAACACAGAATGACAGGTCCAGGTGCACTTTCTAAATGGAGGAAAGACAAAAACTTGTTAAGATAGAAATAATTACAAATTAAAAAGGTAGAGTAGAGCAAGTAAAGACAGCAGAGAGAGAGGACATGTGGTCAGTTTGTCCTCCAGCAGTCTAAGCCTAGAGCAGCAGAACTAAGGGACAGCTCAGGAAACCCAAGCCGACCCTAACTATAGGATTTATCAAAAAGGGAAATCTTAAACCTATTCTGAAAAGGAGGCAAAGTGTCAGTGGTCTAATTTACATTGTGGTGTAAATTTAAAATACTTTTCCATCTGGGGCAAAAGTGTCACTTCTTGTACTATTCTGAAGACTAATGTTTATAATTTAATCAGTTTTGGAAACTTTACTATAGATTTTAGCTAAGGTTCTCCTTTGTTTTGGCTTCTCGGGAACTCTCCCTTTAGTGTTTGTTCCGTTGTAATGAAAAACTAATTCTCCTAAAACAATTCAGAGCGACGCTAACGATGAAGCTATCGGCCTTTTCTCTTCGAGCTGCCTCTGCCAGAGCTGGTGAGGCGTTCGTGCGCATTGTAAAACACATTTGCTGCATTTAGTTGCAGGTCTGTCAGACTAACTTTACGTCACAGACCTAGAAATGCCAATCAGGATCTGTCTGACCCAGAAAGCTTCTGGTTCTGAGGACCTGATGGAGAGGAAGCTTCCAGGGCTCAGAAGATGCCTGGCTGATGATGCTGCTCCAACGTTCAGGCAAAACGCTGTGCAAAACTATATATATATATACATATATATATAAAACTATAAACTATATATATATATAAAACTATAAACTATATATATACATATATATATATATATAAAACTATAAACTATATATATATAAAAACTATAAACTATATATATATATATATATATATATATATATATACACATACAAAATGTAGTCATTTCTCTGCGGAATGTGAAAGAAATAAAATATTAAGTTTATATATTACTTCTTACACATTCGGCATGAATGCTGAATGTCTTTACTGAAATTTGCAGAAGAAGCCAAAACAAAGGAGAAGAGCTAAAAGCTAAAAACATGTGCAGACATACTGAAATGCTAGCTAAAAGTTTAATGTAGTAAAAGGCTATGTACTTTGTAGATAGCTTAAAGTTAGCTCTGACTAACAGCTAAAATAAAAACTGAGAAAGTTTTTTGAAGTAAAGTTCAAAGGGAACGATGTTTTTGAAGCAGTCGATGAATTTCTGTCGAAAAGATCTTTGTAAATAAAGTTCATTTTGAAAATGCTCCTCAGCCAAGTTCAGTCTCAAAAGTTGTATAATTTTTATTGAATAAATGTATTAAACCTTGACGTAGCTTCAGCTTGTCAAAATAAAACTCGATTCCTCCAAACTGCATCTTCAAAGAACCCGTCAGCGTCCTCATCCAACCGGACCTCCTTCAGGAGATGCTGAACTTTGAAGCTCCTCTGGTTTGACTTTCTAAAATGTGCACGTGTTCTCTGGGCTGGTTTGTGTTGCAGCTACAGTCAGAAGCAGGAAAACGGCTTTAAGTCACCACAAACCTTTTTCTTTCGACCTCCATCAGGCACGGATGAAGAAAGTTGTGAAACATCAGTCATGTTGGACTCGTGGTGCAGGATGTGAACCCGCAACTCTCGGGTCACGTTTCAGAGAGTTACGTCTTGTGTGACGGTTTAAACAAAGTTGGTGTCCCCCCTCCTCACCCAGGTACTGCAACGAGCACCTGCCCTGCCCCCCACACGTTTACTGGTCGGCCTGGTCGGCATGGGAACGCTGCAACGTGCCCTGCGGCGGAGGCATCCAGTCCCGGCGCAGAACTTGTGAGAACGGCAACTACTGTCCAGGGTGTGGTCAGGTACGTGACGAACTGGATCATCCACACGACCGAACCCCCGGGCTGTATTTATACTGGGGTGGCAGCCGTCAGATTTATCACCAAGGCCTGTTTAATGCTGCACATGCACATGCACATGCACACCCAGAGAATAATCACTGCGCACATGAATAGGCTTATTTTCTGCCGCAACGCTTTCTCTGAAGCGCGGCTGATGCAGAGTGTTGAAACACGAGCCTCGTGAAAGAATGAAGCGACTCTTCGCTTATTTCTGCTCCCGTTTTCTGACGTGCGCGCGCTCGCTCCTGTTTTCTGACGTGCGCGCGCTCGCTCGTCCACAGTCGCAGGAAGAACGAGCGAGCTGTCGTGCCTCGTGGAGCGGGATTAAAGGATGTGGGTCGGGGCCGTGTGGACACGAGCCTCTTGGAGTTTTTCTGTAGTTTTGATGCTTCGAACGCTCCGAGGAGCGTTTGACTGGAACACGTGGGGTTTGGATTCAGATTCAACTGGTTTTACTGGGCTCAGGCTGGAAGAAACGATTTCAATCAGTTCTTGAATAAATGCGTTACACTCACTGCGCCGTGTGCAAAAGTTTTAATCAAAGAAATTGTCTAATTTTTAGCAGGCAATGAGATGGGAATGACTCTCAGCTACTACCAAACCAAGTTTTACCACCACATCTGGAAACAGTTACAGGCGTTTGTGTTTGCTGCGCTAGATTAGCTGTGGCAGCCATCTTGAACTGGACTGACTCTAAAAGTCAATCGGTTGTAAATGTGCATCAACTCTCGGAGAGATTCATTAAACAGTGATTCACGAGTTATTTTGCTAACAGGTGATTACATAACGAGGGGTCAAAGGACCCCCCTGCGGGACCTGGAGACTGTTGAAGCCAACGGTTCTCGGCTTGTTTGGTCTCCTGCTCCTGGATGTTCTCCGCTCGTCTCTTTTCTTTGTTCCGTGGCTCCTTGTCGTCTTACACTGTGATGTCGGCTTAATTGGGGTCCGTCTGAGCTGCGGGAGCTGTAATTGGATGTAGACTTCAAAAACACCTTTCAGCCAAAGAAGACTTTGTTTGGACGGCTGTGATAAGTCGCTCTGCATTCCCTCTGATTAAAACAACATTTACTGCCTTTTATTTCCTCTTCTGATAAACATTAAAGAGCTGCAGATGTTAATGGAGAGTAATTACCTCGACGTGTTGCATGTGTTTTATAATTGGGCTGCACAGTGTCTGGAAAACTTTTTGTTGTTGCGATGTCAATACTGCAAAGTGCTGCAGTCGATCACAAACTTCAGCTTCATATGTAACAAGTCAACTGTAAAGATGATTTTATACAGGCTGAAGCAGGAAAGACTCAAAGAGGCCTTGTTTACACAAAAACACCGTTGTTTACTTGTTGTTTCCAGGAATATCCTCATAATTGTCTCCACCCGTATGAAGATGTGTCATGACACAATAAATGCTCTTCAGGTTGGAGGACATTTGATTTTAACCGTTTGTTTATCGAGACAGAAAAGGAGCACCTGCTGCCTGAGCAGAGGAGAAACGAGGAGCAGCTTTTTATTTCCACGAGTGAATCTGAACCAAATGACGGCGTTTACACCTGCAACACGTCAGGTTCCAGGCTCTGCACTGTTGTACTTTTGGACCCACGTGCACAAACCGTGCAGGAAGTCCAAGGTCTTCCTCTGTCGCCACGTTGACCTTGGAGACTGCACTAAAGAATCAAAGGTGGTCCCTTCGTACCCGTAAACAGAATACCTGCAAATTAGTTGCTTTTTGTCAAAATTCACCGATTTCAAACAAAATATGTCGTTTACGTGAATCATCTGGAGCCGGAGAGTTGGTGGGGGGGGGGGCAAAACTTCCCATGGACTAGCCTTTAATGAATAAGAAACAAGGTTTCTGTCTACAATCGGACATCTTTGGTGGAACTCGAGTCATTTGGCCGATCAGAGCCGAGACAGACGACAAATCTTTCCACGGACGAAGGGAACTGGTCTACGTTAGAACTAGGTCACGGACTCTGTCAGTTCTGAGGTAAGTCTCGTTGTGGGCCAACGATGTAACCTGCTGTGTAAGTTAAACTTGATTTGGTAAAAGAATAATCCTACTTCAGCAACGTTACGTGTCGTAATCCGTTACCGTTTCCAGAGTAACGTTATCTGTAACGGAACGCTTGTCAGCGTGTAATGCTAGCTAGGACGTCAGCTAGCGGTGACTTGTGCGTTAGCGTTAGCTTCCAGTGTCGCTCTGTTCAGTGCACGTAGTTTAGGAAGGCTGTCTCTAATGGATCCGTAATGCTGTCCAGTAACGTGTCATTCTCAGAAGAGTCGGAGTTTATTTATTCGTCATACATGACACATGTGGTGGAATGAAATTGTGTACACAGGGTCCCAGTTACATCCAACAAAAGTATAAAATGTTAAAGAAAAACAGTGACAAGATCAAAGATATGACCTAAGAAAAATGTTAACTAAAAGTACGGTAAGCACTAATGGTACAAAAACAATACGCCGAACAGCAGCACGAACATGAGTCTGTGTGAGCAGATGAGCAAGAATGAACACAGCAACATGAAACAGATCAGCAGCAACATGAAACAGATCAGCAGCAACATGAAACAGATCAGCAGCAACATGAAACTGATCAGCAGCAACATGAAACTGATCA